AAAAGTAATCTTTTGATGAGTGAGCCGTCACTGTAATACCTTTCTCCTTCAGATGAGGAACCGATCCTCTGGGGTGAGGACGGAATCCCACAGTGCAGGCAAGACACAGCCCTGACCACAGGAGTGCTCCTGATTCCAGTTGTGCAAACATTCCAGGGCTTCTGTCTTCTAAAGACACAAAAAAAGAAACTGTAAGTGGTTTTATTTCTGGTTTTGACAGCATAGGGGGATAGGAGGTAAAACGCCTCATAATGTAGGTTTTATTAAAGACTCCAAATGAATAAGAAAATGAATCTAAAATTTACTTTTAAATGTCACTTAGTTTGCGGTTGAGAGTGCTAGGGGTCACTGAAATAGTCTACCAGCGTTCAGTGGGTTCCTCTTACAAATGCAGAGATTTGTGTCCTGCACAAATCAGATAACACCTCCCGGCCGAGCTGCACACCTGGGCCTCTGGGTGCCCAGGGCTCTTTTGATTACCCAGAGGTTGAAAATAAAGGTGAAGACCCTGCTCCTCACACCGGGCCACTGGGAAAGGTGCAGGTGCTGATGCCAGTGAGGCGGATGTGAATTAGCCACTGTTGGTGTTATGTCTTGGGAAAGCATTGCCTAGTAATTGCAGTAAATAACATTTTGAAAACTCTTTTGTTGAGGGAATATCTCCACCATCCGCCCACCCTCATCTGCCTATCCCATCCCCTTCCAAAGGGCATTCAGAATCGGGGAAAGGACCTAGTTAAACAGGGTAGAAAATGGGAAAAAAGATTAAGAACAAAAAAATCAGTATTTTAATGAAAATACGAGGACAAAACTTCTTGATATTGTAAAAACTCTGGTTTTTGTGGGTAAAAATAGTAACTGAGAACAATTAGACATAGAAAATCCCTCACTTTCATGTGATGCTTTAATTACTCCCAGGAGAACATTGTTAATTATTTAAAAGGCCCTGTGAGTCATTAATTATCCTTTCCTGTTCATTTCTAAGCAAACTTTTAAACTTAGTCTCATTCGCCAATTTACTCTTCAATTAGATTTCTATTTCTGCTTCATATGCAGCTAAAAATAGTTCTCTATTTTGTTCATTTAATGTTTGTTTTCTTCTCTTCTCCCTAAAAAGCAAGCCACTTGGAAAGGTGACATGGCTGTCAAACCGGACTCTGCTTCTCTCTGAAGATCCAGGACCCTCTGGCCTGGAATCATGGGCCTCTCGGCCCTGCAGGGTCTCCCTGTCACTCCCAGGACCCTCCTTTCACCCTTTCTCCCCTTCCCCATGCTCCCTGGATCCCCCACACCCTCAGAATTGTGGCACATGACAAATTCGTGGCTAATGCTGCAGATGATGGCTGGGGAGGCTCAGCTGACAGACTTCTCCCTTCTCGCACCAGGCCCCACCTGGGCCTCACCTCTTAAAAAAGAACATTCTGGTTTACCAATTCACGCACAAGTGCTAGCAATTTAACACCGTTTGCTTCTCCTTTGAAAGGGAATCGGAGAGAAGAGCACAACCCAGAAAACGAGGAGGCCCCGGCAGAGGGGCAGGGTCTGGAGGGCAGCCCTGCTGGCCTGCTCCCAGCCTGTGGAGCAAAGCGTGAGCTCTGGGCTGGGCTCGAGGGCGAGTGCTCAGGGAGCGGCCTGCTGTCTTGGCAGCCGCTGGCCGAAGCCTCCCAGACTGGAGTGAGTGTAACCGGGAGTCACTCACACATCTGCCCACTTGCTCGTCCACAAACAGGAAACTGTGCAAATCCCCAATGCTGAGCAGTCAGTGGAGGGGCAGACACCAAATAATCTCTCTAAATATTGTATCACATTATATTAATTATATTAAGCCCTGAATGGTTCTCTAAGAAAATGGCAACACCTCCTTGTAAAGGGGAATTTAGAGAACTCTGAGTCTGGCTGATCTGAGAAACTGGAAGATGGCAACAGTCAGGGCCCCAGGAGAGGAGAAAGAGACACCTCCTGGAAGAACTGCTCACGGTCAGAAGGCAGAGGCCGGCAGCCTGCCTCTGTGAGTCCCACCATCCTGGGGTGGGAGGGGGGACCCGGCCAGGGCTGTGCCATGTGCTGGTGTGTGGCCAGCTCTTGGACAAACCGTCCAAGGTGTTCTTCCAGCAGCTCCCGGACCCCTGAGGTTCCTCCTCAAAATTCCACAGCTTGGAGTGAAAAAAAAAAAAAAAAGATTAAAGCTGATGATGTTTTCCAACATCCTGGGCTTTTTATTAAGAGGGTGAAGAAAGCAATGTTTTTCAGTCTAATATTTAGGTTTTAAAGGATACAAAAAGAGGGACACAGGCAAATGATGAGTTTCTTCACAGCACAAGCTAAAAACGGCCTGGCTGGGGCACACCTGAGGTCAGCATCGTCCTCTGGAGTGCCCATCTCCTTTATATAGGCAAATGTGGTCTCTAGAACTCATCTGGATGTGGCAGAGACACCAGAAGGATCTCAGAGAGTCGTGTTTCTGCGAAGCGTCGTTCTTCTTTTTGGAAAAGCATGCAGTACTAGCATGGCGCCTTTTTTAAAGTGATTAAACGGGTGCATCTTTCACTCTGTTCTAATCATGAAGCCCGAAGTCTTCCCCCTGATGTGTCACTGGGTTTCAAGCTTCTGCTTCATGAGGAAAACACACAAGTAGCTGCCAGTTTCCGCCAGTTTCTGCCAGAGATTTGATTCTCCCATCAGAGCTCAGCCTGGAAAAGCCAGGGAAGCTGCCAGTGTGGGAAGCAGCAGGGAAGTGGGTGACCTTGGAGGGGGTGTCCAGGGGGCAGGAAGAGAAACTGAAAAGCACCTCAGGGGGCCCAGCCCCTCCAGAATGCCCCAGGACAGAGGCAGGTGGAGGTGCAAGGGAAAGAAGGCGTGGCACAAACAGACCTGGTTATGGGGAGAAGAGACCCTGGTGGGAGCAGGAGGCAGAACCCAGGCATGAGCTCAGTCAGGGGCGGACCACGCCTGAGGCCCAGACCAAAGACCACAGCGCTGGGAGTCAGGCACCAGCAGAGGCCGGGAAAGGGAGCCTTCTCTGCCCTGAGGACACAGGGGCTCTGGGAGGAGGAAGTGTACACCATCCTGAAGGAGAGGGCATTTGTCCAACAGAGTTGGAGTGATCTTTGACACACGTAAGTACGAGCCATCCCAGTGTCTGTGGGAATTCTGAGCAGGTTAGGAGCAGTCGGAACAGGAGGAGCCTCTTGTGATGCATTCTGTTTTGTAGGGTGAACGTTACTCCCAGTGTGTATGCCTTCCACTGCATCAGAGCCTCCAGGACTGGCCCTGTCTCCCCACCACCATCCCCTAAACTCCTGGCACAATAAGTGCTCTCAGCTCTTCTCCCCAAGATGTCCCATCTGCGGGAAAGGCTCCATACCCCACACTCGGCCACACACTCTCACTCCCTCACACACTCACACTCCCCTCCAATGCACAAGTAGCTCCAAGTTTATGGCTTTCCCAGGGTGGAACCGGGAGGAGAAGATGCATTTATGGAAGGAACCCAGCGGCACAAGCTTTCTTCATAAGCCAAGCAGTCGCCTGAGGCCCAGGTCTCCCTCTCCATCCGTTTCCCATTAGATACACGTGGATGAAGCCGGAGAGATAACAGGTAAAGGACAGATGACAGGCAGACAGATCACAGATATGACAGATCCCAGATAAATGACAGATAGATGGATGATAGATGACAGATAATAGATAGATGATAGATCACAGACCATAGATAGGAAGATGATAGATGATGTAAAGGTACATGATACATGGATACATCATAGATAAATGACAGGTAGAGGCAGATAACAAATAGGTAGATGGTAGTAATAGATGTTAAACAGATGATAGGTAGATTGTAGGTGATTGGTACATGACAGATAGATCATAGATAAATGACAGATGATAGATGATAAACAGGTAGATGAAAGGTTACAGCTAGATGATAAGTAGATGACAAATGATAGGCGAATAATAGATGATAGGTACATAACAGATGAATAGACGATAGATAATAGGTGACAGGTAGGTGATAGGTAATAGGTAGATAATGATTTTAAGTAGGTACATGATAGGTGCGTGATGGATAGATGATAGGCAGATGACAGATGATGTGGATGATAAACATCAGATGATAGAAAAATCGGTATCTGTGAATACGGGGTATCAGAGAGAAGCAAATAAGCCCAACGAGGTCGATGTTAATGACTGAATCCAGATAAAGGGTAAAAGGAGTTCTTTGTACTATTCTTATTCTTCTAATTTTTGTGTACGTTTGAAATTATTTCCAAATAAAAAAACAACACAAAATTAGCTTTCGTCTCTCATTTCCAGTGCCTTCCCCTTGCTGGGGAACGGCTGCTCTCCTGGGCTGGCCCTGCGGGCTCCTCGGGAGGCGGCCCCGGCGGCCCCGCGTGAGTCCCGCCCCGCGCTCCCCACCCGGCGCTGCGTGTGCGGGGAGAGGACGACTCCCCGCGCTGCGAACGCGGGACACAAACCAGCAGCCGAGCTGAGGTCGGGGCGCCCCTGCCCCTCCCTCTGCGTTTTTCTGCAGCTTTCTGTCCAACCTGACTTCCTCCGCTGAGGCTGTTCCCCGGTCCCCACCGAAACGCACTCTAATGTTCTCCGTTTTCAGACGTCTCAACGCTGCCCCACTGGCTACAGAGACAGCGCACCCACCCTGGACGGGTTTCTGGGCGCTTTCTCGGGCTACTGCAGTTATTTAGCGAGGCAGGTGCAGGCAACGAGCGGCAAAGGCCTCGCTCCTTCCGAGCGCGCACACCTGGCCGGGTCCTCCTTCCGCGCCCCGCGCGGCCGCTCTGCCGGGTTCTTTCCACCCCGGGCCGGGCGCGCACCCAGCATCCCCTTCCCCGCCCTTCCGCCCGCAGAACCCGGGAGGCGCGGCCGGGAGAGGAGCGCGGAGCGGGGGTCTCGGGGAGGAGGGAGCCGGGATCGTGGACGGGAGCGCGGGGCGGGGACAGGGCGCGGGGCGGGGCGGGGGCCGGCGGGCGTGGCGGGCGCTCCAGCGCCGGGTGAGGGGCGGCCCACGCGCTCGGGACTCCCCGCTGCAGCTGCGGAACGCGCGCGGGCTTCGGCGGCCGGATCCTGGGGTGCTGGGGGCCGCGGTCTCCGCGGACTCGGGGCCAGCCCATCCTGGAGGCGGCGGAGCCGCGGGGACTCCGGACGGAGGCGGCCGGCGCTGGGTGACCCCGACAAGCTGAGCTCGGGATGCGGGCGCTGCTGCCGCCCGCGCTGCTGACCTGCTGGCTGCTCGCCCCCGTGAGTGCGCCTGCGATCCCCGCGCCCTGCACCCCAAGCCGGGGCTCCCCTTCTGAGAAGGGCGCTCCTCCCGCCGGGCTTCGCCTTCCTCCCGGGTCCTGGCGCGGGGGTGGGGACGCCCCTTGCCTGCCCGGGGTGCCGGGTCCGAGGTCCGGGAGAGGGAGTGGGGTCGCTCGGGGTCCGCTGAGCTCCGGCCCGGCCAGGCTGTGGGACCCGGGTTGGGAGGCTGCCTTCGCCTCTCCCTGCGCCCTGCATTTCGGGGTTTGCTGGAAACGGGACGTTTCTTCCTGGACGCGTCCACGATGAGCTCGTTCAGGGCCGTCCCGGGAGCTGGGAGCTTCGGGCACCTGAGCGTTTCGCGGGGATCGGGGTTGGCGTTGGCGGCAGATCCTCGGCCTACCTCCCTGTACTTACTGGTCTGTGTTTTAGCGTCGGGGGGGACGTGGTGTTGGCTAGGCAAAGTTTCCTTTTGGAAATAGTTGCTTTTCTTCCCAAGAGCACGGGAGGAGATAACTGCGCATAAGTTTGTTGAATGAGTGCCTTCACACACGGCGTTCTGAATTACTCACTCTGTGAACCTTTACAAAAAAGAAAGAAAGAACATCCGAGGCTTGTTTCTTGCTTTCCTGTTGGAGACCGCAGCGGGTTTGCAGTGCGCGCGGTTTTGCTGGCGTCGCGGCCAAGGTGGGTCTGGATGGACACGCGGCCCCTCTGCCCCCTCTGCCGCCGCCAACAGGACGCGGTTGTTTCCGGGGACCCGGTGCTCGGCGGGGCACGAGCTGCACTCCCTGGCCTTGTGCAGAGGCGCAGCCAGGCTTTCCCACTCCAGGGTGGGCGCTTTACGGAGCGAGTCCTTATCAAGGTGATTTATCGTTGCATCCTTTATCGTTGCTAAAATGTCCTCAGAGGAGTGATTGCTCTGCATTTTCCAGGAGCATCAGGTATTGTAATGTCATTTATACCTTTACAGAGTTTTTTTCTTTTTACGTCAATATAATTTCCTTAATTCTGAAATTTAAGCCACTGACTTTCCCTGCATGAAAACAGAGGACCTGGAGCCCAGAGTCTGGCCTGCTGCTGCTTCAGTCATGAGCTAGAAGCAAGCTAGGCTTGCTCTTTTGAATGGGGCCAAAGGCGGCAAAAGGTCCAGCGTTGTTTCCCCCTTAATTCTTTAGGAAATTGTGTTCGTGGTTGGGACTCTCACTGACCATTTCAGTCGTAAGGTAACTGGACAGCCATGGCCATAATACACCCAAGAGTATGACTCTCCTTAGTTATTTCTTTAGTACGAGTAGAATTTTAGTCGGTGCGGGGGAGGGGGAAGATCAAGACCAGAAGGATGGGCGGGTAGAGCCCTTCTTAAGTCCCCAGGGCTGCTTGGCAGGCCTGGTGCTGACTCGGGGTGGGCGTGAAATGCGAGCCAGTTGATCTTGGTAGAAACCGCGCCTTCTGAGAGGAATCGTTATGCGGTTCTGTCTTCTCGCGGTCGCAGGCAGCTTGATTACCATCTTTGCAGCATCTTGGGCTCCCCTGATGGAGCCGGCCTGGAAATCCCCCCTTTTTTTCCTGAGGCCACAATGATGTGACTCCCCCACCTCTGCCTCCCTCCTCATCTTGCTGATCTTGAAAATCTCTTCCACTGCAAATTCTAGTCAAAATGACTGCAGTTTTATCTGTAGTTATAGGGTTAAGCTTTGAAAGTGTACCAAAGTATTTGAACAGAAAGCCCTTCTCTCCAGCTCTCTGCCTGGTGGCGGCTGTCTGAAGAAAGCTGCACAGTCCACAGGCATCCATCCACTTAAACCAAACCAAAGGCTGTGAAACGGAGGACCCGGGTGTCCAGGGATTCGTGGAGTAAAGGGCTCTATTGCTTCCAAATTAGTACTGAGCAACATGCAAGGTATTATGTTAGCAAATTTATTTTCCTGCTCAGAAAAAAAAAATCTATTAGATTTTGTGCTTGTTGTAAAATACCTTTACAAAGTAAATAGTGAAGTTTAAGAAAAGCCAGAAAAATGAAGGTGATTGGTTTTAAATGAATTTTAGTTTGGAAGTGGTTTAAAACTGTGAGGTTTTTGGGTGTTTTTGTAGAAGTTTTGCTTGCTTTTCCTCTTATTGTGGAATTTTTAGTTATTAATATTTCTTTTAACCTTGAACAGGTGAACAGCATTCACCCAGAATGCCGATTTCATCTGGAAATACAGGAGGAAGAAACAAAATGTGCAGAGCTTCTGAGGTCTCAAACAGAAAAATCCAAAGGTAAGGCAGAGAGCTTGTGAGAAAGAACTCCAGTGGCATTCTAACCGGGGAATATGCACACTCAGCTGTGGTTCAGGGTCACCACCTGCATCTTAAAAAAGAAAGAAAGAAAGAAAGGTCACTTCCCATTGCTTGTTACTGAACTACCGGAGCTAAAACTCAAGGAGTGTTGGATAGGTAGGGTCTTCACACACCTTAGAAAACCTGAATCCTTAACAGTAACAGTTTCCATGGTTTGAGATGATAGCGACAGTTACTAAAACAATTTCTTCAAAGGCTTTGTTATGCTTTACAGAAGCAGCTCCAGTTTTCCAGGGGATAAGCATTTATCTGAATTACTGCTTTTAAATTCTTAGTTATAGCACAGATGATGTTGATCTGGTCGAGGATGGTGGATACTTGGCAGAAAGCAAACAGAAAAATGAGTCTTTTGTTGTGCTGAAGATGGGCCTGCGGTGAACACTGTCTTCTCCGGTTTGACAGAGGCATGCTGCGCCATCATGCCCCAGACCCAGCCTGCTAACAACCTGTTTATAGACTCTGTGCCCTGGGATAGCACCCGGCCTATAAATAGTAGCAAGGCCTTTGTCCGTCAGCTTTCTCTGCTCTTTGTCATGATTTTCTCCTCTTCAAGAAAGAAATTAAATCTGTGTTCAAACAGTCTGGTGTCCTGTAGAAGGCCTCAGATGGTAGGCTTTATTCAAGAATAGCCCTGCCCAGCAGAAATAGAATGCAAGCCACATTACAATAAGTAAAAAGAAGCATGAGAGATTAATTTTAATAGTATCCTTTGTTTACCTGAATAAATCTGAATCTTTAATATTTTGACATATAATCAACCTAAAATTATCAATTTTACATTCTTATTTTATGCTAAGTCTTAGAAGTCCGGTGTGCTTTTTGTGCTTACAGCACAACACAACGTGGACCCCATTTCAAGGTTCAGGAGCCACAGGCAGCCAGTGGTCTCCACGCGGGATGTAGGGCTGTAGATCGTCACTAAACAGGTGTCCCCGTTTCCCATTCCCCTCTGAGCCACCATTTCCCAGTCTGAAATATGCGGCCCTGCCTCTAGGGCTGCTTCTGGCTTTGAAGATATGTGATTCTGTGGTGCATGCATAGTTCTGGCCACATCTTCCACATTGTCTGGTTGAACTCTGTCCAGAGAAAGGCAAATAAAGTAACTTGGCTGAAACCATGGGGAGAGTCTCTCCTGTGAAAGGCGGATGCGGCCGAGGAGATGTGGATGGATGAGGCAGCCAGGGCGCCACAGCAGAAGCAGCTGTGTGGCCACGGAGGGTTGTTCTTCCCAGTGAAAAATCCAAGTTAGGAAAAGTAGTCCTAAGGAGAGATGGGCTTTTAGGATTACCTGGTTCCCTGCGGGCCTGGGGGCCTCGACAGCCCTCCTCACCTCCAGGTCCCAAATTGCCCAGCCTCATGTTTTCATAAATGCAGATTTATATAAAACATTCTACTTTCTTAAAGCTTGTAAACAATACATTTAAAAAATATATTTTGAGGGAGCCAGAGCCATCTGATGGCTCTCTGCATAGTACCTGGACCGTAGCTTATCCCCAGGTTGGAGACGCCTCCTGAGGCACCCTCACCAAAAGCCAGGTCAGCACATTTAAACTGTTCACAGGGGCTCCTCCTCAGTGGGTGATCTGTGTGTGAGCCACATTGGACGCCAGGGGCCAGAGGTCCCAGGGAGTCATTCAGCCCCACACCAGCTTGAGTGGGTTCAGATGCAGGCCCAAGAAATGGGCCTTGAATATTTGATTGGGTCATAAAGGCTCCACCCTCATAAGGTTTAATCCACTAATAGACTAGTGGGTTAATGAATTTTCATGGGAGCTGGTGGCTTTATGAAAAGAGGTAGAGAGACCTGGGTCGACACGCTCGGCCCCTCACTACCTCATGCCCTGTACCACCTGGGGACCCTGAAGAGTCCCCACCAGCAAGAAAGCCCTCACCACTGTGGCCACTCAACCCTGGACTTCTCCAGGCTCGTAACTGTAAGAAATAAATGCCTTTTCTTTACAGCTTACCCAGTTTCAGGTATGTTCTTATAAGCAACAGAGGCAAACTTAGACACTTGAGCAGACTGCAGCTCTTCCTGAAGGGGACGTGGATTGAACCTCTTTGATGGCAAGGATTTGTAGCGTTTTCTGGGTCAATAACCAGTTCCAGTGATGCTCCAAAGGCTTCATGGCCAGGGCCTGTATGCTTGAGGGTTGTCTCATGTCATGGGATGAATGGAAATGAAACCATCTTGCTGACGTTTGCTGATGCACTGGTTGATCATTTCATTTATTTATTTATTTATTTTCTGAGATAGAGTTTCACTTGTTGCCCAGACTGGAGTGCAATGGTGTGATCTTGGCTCAATGCAACCTCTGCCTCCCAGGTTCAAGCAATTCTCCTGCCTCAGCCTCACAAGTAGCTGGGATTACAGGCGCCTGCCACCACGCCTGGCTAATTTATTTTTTTATTTTTAGTAGACACAGGGTTTTGCCATGTTGGCCAGGTTAGTTTCAAACTCCTGACCTCAGGTGATCCACCGCCCTGATCTCCCAAAGTGCTGGAATTACAGGCCTGAGCCACTGTACCCAGCCTTCTCTCATTTATTAACATTTTTCAGCAGGCTTTTATGGAATAGATACCAGATTGTAAAAAAGAACTTTCTTTTTTATATATTATTTTTATTTTATTATTTTATTTTATTTATTTTTTAAGATGGAGTCTCACTCTGTCGCCCAGACTGGACTACAGAGGTACAATCTCACCTCACTGCAACCTTCGCCTCCTGGGTTCAAGTGATTCTCCTGCCTCAGCCTCCCAAGTAGCTGGGATTACTGGCATGTGCTGCCATGCCCAAATAATTTTTTGTATTTTTGGTAGAGATGGGGTTTCACCATGTTGGCCAGGCTGGTCTTGAACTCCTCAAGTGATCTGCCTGCCTCAGCCTCCCAAAGTGCTGAGATTACAGGTGCAAGTCACTGCAGTTGGACCTTTTTTAATATTAAAGACTCACTTTTCTTAACTAATCAAAGACTCAAGTTATCCTGACAAAATACAAAATTATCGTTTTCTCGGCCATTTTCTTAAAATGAAAAAAAAAATCTTTCATAAGTAAGAGAAGACCAATATTTAAGAAAATATTTCCTATTAACAGAGGCAAAATAAACTTTGTGTCAGTACTTTACTAAGCTTTAAAAAAAACGTACAAACAAAATTCTAATCTTAGTAGTTTGGCCACACATAAAATTTCTTTTGTCAGACTCCTACAACTGTGTATACCCACTCAGTTTTTGCCTTACTCATTTTCTTCATTTTTTGCTAGAATAATCAGTCATCTTGCTTTAAGATAACATTATTCTCTTTTTTCTTAAAATACAGACCTTGTATACTTTTCCTTACTAAAAACACATCCTACTTTCTCTGTACATTTTTCATATACAATTGTTAGCTTTCATCTTTATTTCTAGTAGTTTTAATTGCACATGTTAATTCAAATTCTTAATCCTTAGTGACATTCATATCCACTGTAAATTAGGAAGTACATGATGCCGTAGTTATTAAGTGGCATGTGCCTCCGCAGCACGGGACACGCTTACGGGCAGACCCAGGCAGCTCCAGCTCCTCCATAATACGCCAAAAATAATTAAGTTTAAACTTCTTTTTAGGAATTAGTGTTTTAGTAGTTTATTTTATTTGGGCATGATCTAGATATGTAGTAAATATCATTTAATTTAACAGTGTAATTTCAGAGTTTCAAGTTTTCAAAAATATTTTGGAAACTGTTTTTAAACAGACACATAATATCAAACTATCTGTCATCTCAGGTTATTTTTCTTGTTGACAAATTTTTTAACAGGAATAATGAGCTTATTTGACTAGCTCAGCTAGGTAGAATGTTCATTTCTACTAAATCATCAATATTCTTATTTATTAAAGATTATTCAAGTCATATGAACTTAAAACCACTGGGTTCCTTTTTTTCTGACAAAATATTGAATTTATACAAGTACCTAATTTTTTCTAGGCCGGTAAAGCAGAGCTCTTTTCACATTATTTCTAATAATAGCATCCAGAGGTAGAATGCTGTAACATGTAAATAACATACATATATGTGGATGTAATAACCAAACAGACAGATGCAGAGATTGCTGGCTCTGTTCTCTAATTGTAGCCCTGTGCCAGGTACAATAATATAAAACTCACCGGTCGGTCCAAATTGTACTCTTGGCAGATAAAGTTACCTGTTCGGATGGCCAAAGCCTTTTGTTAATACATATGAAAAGGACTTTTAAGATTTTCCATTTGCCAGTTTTTTTTTTTTTATAATGTTCCCATTTCTTCTCCCTTCTGATGAGTCATTTCCCTGATGCTGCATTTTAAAGCTTTCAACAACTCTAAGGCAGGGACAAAGGACAGTAAGTTTTCCCAGAAAGGAGTCATGCAGAGTTGCATGTTGTCGGGGTCAGTATTGTTGGTACTGCAGGCCGTGTTTACGGAGTGGCCAGGAGACACCTGTCTGTTGAGGAGTCCTTCTCCCCTTGCTTTTATAAAAGCTCAGGGGTGTGAGCAAGGTCAAAATCTGAGTTAGTTGTTACAGAGGCCCCAGGCTCAGCTGAGGATTTAATTTGTAAGAAAGTTGGTTTTCAGACTCTTCACATGAAAAAGGTAAGAAATCAAATATTAGTAGATTCAAAATAATATTAGTATGCTGTAGAAATTCCCTTGGAGAGGCTATAATTTTGGAGTCGTTCTGTCTAAAATCAATCTGTATACCAATCGAAAAATGTATTGCATGGTTTTGTAGGCACTCAGGATTCCTTTTCTTCAATGTGCCCATAGGTGAATGATTTCATCTGGAATAAACTTCCCACTGTGGCCCCTGTATCTCAGCCATCCTCCTGAGCTGCACCCATTTCTCTAGAAAGGCACGGGCTCTGGGTCTGTAGTTTCTGAACATAAAATTACCTGGAGTTCCAGAT